CCGTTAACATAAGAAGGCCCCCTTCACATCAGTCCCCCTTTATGTCAGAACCCTCTTTTCATTTCAGAGTGCCCCCTGTTACATCAGATTTCCCCTTTCACCGCAGTGTCCTGCCATCACAAACTTTCAAGGCACCCCTGAGGAAGTCAGAAGGCCCCCCGATGTGCCACGGCACCCTTGTTGAGAAAGGTTGGTCACGAGCCTGCCCTTCATGGCCAAGCCACCTGCATGACGCCAATGATCATTTTAGCTTTAGGCGGAGCATTCTTCCCACTGACCGCCAATGTAAGGTCACTCGGGTGGTCTAAGAACCCATAATTCATTGCAGCCAATTCAGTGTATTGGACGCTGAGGGATACTCCATCACTCTAGCGAAAGGGGGGAGATAATTTGCGGGGACCGGTCTAGCAGCCAGGCAGGATCCAGGTTCGGATGAGTATATCTTTTTGTTATTTTAGATTTTAGACAAAAGCAAGCACTTTACCCTTGCGGTACGGGGGAAGCCCACATTGCGCATTCAATGAAAACAAAATATCCCTTTTAAAAATAAATGGATATATTTCTAAGTATCTATCTTAAAGGAGAACTATGAAGGGGGAGGTGCTTTTCACTCACCTCACAGTTCTAGCCGACCTGTGACAATGAGACTGTCACAGGTCGGCTCAGTAGATCCGGAGGTGAGGGAACACATACCGGCGTTCGCTCACTTCTCGATCCTTCTCGATCCTGTCCAGCCAGAGCCAGCTGTCAGTCACGCAGCTGGGCGGATCCCGGCATAATTGTCGGGATCCGCTTCAGCTGCGTCGTCTCAGTATACCGCGAGCTGTAGCTCTCTATATACTGAGCCTAGGGTGACGGGAGGACGCTGGTTTGTGTCCCCCCGTTACCCTAAGGAGAACTATGGGGAAAACACTGACCCCATAGTTCTCCTTTAAGTATCTATTTGAGCTCTTTATTTTAGGAAGAGGAGCTTGCTGTCAGGCGTGAGAGTGATGAGCTCATTGGGGGTGTGGTGATGCAACTACCTTGTCCAATCAGCAGGCTGGGGGGCGGTCCGGTGACCAAAGCTTTATTCTTTAACTGAAGTGCAGACCAGTGAGGTCACAGGGGGTGTTCTGGGGATCATGGCAGGTACATTGTTGCTGGTGAGTTCATCTCAGCGTAACATCATGCCCCTGTTTTATGGGGTGAGGATTGTTATACAACCAGGGAAACAATATTCAACCCCCCCTCCCCCGAATCTGCGTCCTCTATCGCCGCAGCCTCATCTGTGCAGCTGTTTTTCTAGGAATCTGAATTGTAACCACCGTTCTCGCGTCCTACTGGGATTGCGGCGGCGGCACAGAAAGTGTTGTTTGTGACAATCCAGCGGTGGTGTGTTACCTTTTGATGCACGCAACTAATAAATTAATATGATTAAATTAATGAGCAGCGCAGACGTTGCCAAAACTTCAGCAGTCCGGAGTCGGTTGCGGCAACGGGCTTTGGGATCCGGCGCTTCCCCTGCGGTGAGCGGTTCACGGCTAAGCTACACATTGTCACGGTGATAAATGACATATCCCAGGGTGCATTGCTTTCCATCTGCTCCGTCCCCGACACACACACACAAAAAAAAAATATCGAACGCACACTGCGGGGCCGGCTGCGCTATAGCGTATGTCCAAATCATCGACCGCTCTCACGTTGGAGCTGTGCGTATTTCACCTTCAAAGCTCCAGTTTTGTTATACCTTCCAACATCTCCCTCATGTAAGATCCAGGCGGAGGTCACTTTGATGGTGCTTTATTTTCTTTTGCGGTGACAAACGCAGTGGATTTGGGCGCAGTCATTCAGGTTAGTATCCAAAAATAAAAGCATTACACCAAAAACATCATTTATCACACATGAAAAGCAAGCCCGGCCCATACAATCTCATAGAAGCTTTAATAGTGTAATACCGGCTCAAAAGTCATTTTATTTTCAAATCTGCAGCTTTCATTATAACAATCCCCGTTGATCCTGCCATGGAGGTCCTTGTTCAGGTACTTCCTGTTACAGGGTGACAACACTCTGTTCCTGTCCCCCAATGGACTTCTGATGGAGTCCACATGTGGCCATTCCAACACACATTACACAGACATTGTCCACTGCTGTCCCCATCAGGAAACCCGCCCTGAGAAATCCCAGGCACCCACCGCTGGAGCAGGCGACAATTCTGAACGCCTAGGCATTGTTCAGGTGACAAGTCTCCATCCTCCATCCAGATACAAAGTAACATTGTTTATAAACATTGATCAGAGGGAGATAAAGAGATACAAAGTAACATTGTATATAAACATTGATCAGAGGGAGATAGAGAGATACAAAGTAACATTGTATATAAACATTGATCAGAGGGAGAGAGATAGAGAGATACAAAGTAACATTGTTTATAAACATTGATCAGAGGGGAGATAGAGAGATACAAAGTAACATTGTTTATAAACATTGATCAGAGGGGAGATAGAGAGATACAAAGTAACATTGTTTATAAACATTGAT